ATATATATATATATATATAAATACATGTGTATGTCTAAATATATATATATACACAGAGACCGCTAGCGAGGGATGAGGAGGGAACGAAAAGTATCGACGGGGAGCAAAACGAGCGGCGCTCGTATCTATTCATTCACAGCGCGCAGGGCCGATCCTGGCTGCAGCAGCTGCTATCAACAGTTCCTTTGCAACAATTACTCACACACACACACACACACAGAGAGAGAGAGATTTACCACCCTCAAATGGGTGATCGGAATTCACCATCCAGTTCACGTAGTGCAAGAACAAACCCAATATTTGGGTTAATGTCGCTTTTGCGCTTCTTCAATAACTCGAATGCTGCCCTGTAGCTCTTTGCGACTCTCAACCCGCCCCCACTTTCCTTTCTCAAGACACGTTGACGGTTTTGCTCGGCGACACAGCAGCAGCAGCAGCAGGAGCACTGATTGCTGCTAGCACTACTATCAAAACCACTCGCAGCTTCCCTCGCATCATAATTACAGCGAGAGATGGCAGTGACAACGGCAGAAGGAGGTGTGACAGGCCCTTCCCAGTCACGCCGGTGTCGGCTGCAGCGGCCGCTCGCTGTAAGCTCCTCGCCGTAAATCATGAGATACGCCAGCACGATCGTTGCGCTTCGACTCACTCCCATCCTGCAGTGCACAAGTACGCCACCGGTTTCGGTACCCGATGACGACGCCGACGCCATGGAAGACGCATTAGTGTCGCCTAATTCCCTTCGTGCCCTACACGCGTGCTCCCGCCGGTGCAGCTGTCGGTGAATCAACTGAGTGAGTACGTGAAAGTAGCGCCCAATGTTCTCGTCACTGTGATCTTTAAGCGGAATCTGCACGAAACGAATGCGGAACGGGTTGTGCTGCATCGTCTCGGTCATTGGACACTCCTCGGTGACGTTCAGCACGAGTGAGATACCCTGGGCGACCAGTGCTTCAAGGTTCGTTGCCGCACCATAAGAACCAAGAAAAAGTCCCGGAAGAACCGCCACCGCATCGAAACTTGTCGTTGCAGAAGTAGCTGTTTCCTGTCTGGTTGCTCGGACTGCTTGGTGGCCCATGCTGTAGCTAAATCGCCCAAAAGGACCGTCGCGCGCCACATCTTGCGGAGTCACGATGCGCCGCAATCGGGATTCCGTGAGGTCGGATCCAGGCTGCACACAGTCCAGATGCCTTGCGCGCGTTGGCCCTTCGCCTTCATTGTCAACGCGGCCATTGTATAACGAAGACCCATGCGAGTCGAATTGAACAGCGTTTCGCGTGGGCGCGGTTCCAGAGTAAAGACCATGATTGTCGTTATCGTCATTCCTGTGACCGTGTGCGCCACCCGTGTTACTGCTGCTACTGCTGCTGCTGCTGTTGTTGTTGTTGAGGATGTGGGGCAAATGGGCCCGCCATAAAGGTGACAGCGACGGTGACTCGGGTAGAACAATGCGTAGTGGGAGGGGCTTCTCCAGGCCGCTCGGGCAGACGTGGCCGCCACCGCCGCCACCAACTCCGTTTTTACCATTATCGAAGTACGGTGGCTCTTTCACCTGCGCTTTCCATTGCTGTTGTTGTTGTTCCGGCTTCTGCTGCTGTGGCTGCATCCGCGTTGTGTTCCCGTGGCACCCACCAGGGCCGTTGCGGCCCAGCGAAGGCCCCTCAAAACACACTTCCGCACCAGAGTGGCAGACGGACAGCGTCACTTCTGTTGTTTCATCCTCGCGGTGGGTCTGCTGCTTCTGCCCCTGCTGCCCTTCCGACTCGACCGGCGTCGAACTCTCAACTGACGATACATGCACGTGATAAGCGAAGTTCTCGACGAAATACTCCCGCTCCTCCCGCTTCTCGAGACACGAGTACGATCGGGAGTGGAAGCTCCTTTCAGAATCCGATGTCACTGCATCATGCTGCGGAGGCGTGTGCGATAATGACTCACCCAACGGCGCTGAGGTGCCTAGAGGCGGCGTTGGGGCCAGTGGTGGTGTTTCGCTCGTGTCCCGCGATGTGGCGAGCTTCGGGTGCCGCAGATCCACTTTCTGTTTCTCCATGCGATGCAGGTCATGTAGAACGTTGAGAACATTCTCATGTGGGTAACTCGTCTGGCGCAGTTGCCGCTTAGGCCTCAGCGGAGGACTCAAAGGATGTGCTATGAAGGCGCGCGCCGCACTGCCCACGAAGAAGCTAACTGGGCTTCCCTTCAGGCCACTGCTGCTGCTGCTGCTGCTGGCGGTGATGGTAAGAGGGGTTGGCGCCACGCCTGCGGCTGGCCCTCCCTCCAGCCCTTCTGCTGGCTGGCGTGCGGCTGCGCATGCCAGCTGAGGGAATTCGATGGACTCAACGCCCGGTGTCATGGCCTGTGGTACACAGCTCTGCGTCACTCCATTCCCATGCTGGTCAGAATCCCCCAACGGGGAATACGGATGACTGTTGTCGTGCTGCTGATGCTGGTGCTGTTGGGGGTGCTGCATCCCGTCTTGTGGCACCGCACTCCCGTCATCGCACGCCATCTTGACGGCCCCATCGCTTCTGCCTTCGCCGTCCATTACAGCCCGGTCCTTGGTTTGCTGTC